TTAAGAACGGATGAGAAACGCACGGTCTCTTGACTGATATTCTGAATTGCACATTCAGCTGCTCCCACAATTCTATCATAGCCGCGTCTATCAATATCGGTTGCACCCTGGCGCAACTCTTCCACTTCAAGTGGTAAGAATGGGGATTCAAACATCCGAGGTGGGATGCAATCCACGTCATAACCCTACAAAAAATCAGAAGCAGCTCATCAACCATTTCAATCAAACAATAGAACCCTGCGATATTTTTGATGATTGTTAACAACTAAAAATACACTAGAATTAACAACCACGAATCGCAAAACTAAGCAAACCAGAGGTTGTAATCATAAATACGTCTTTTGGTGAAACCCAAAGAAATGAAATTACAAGCAGGGGAGAGTGACAAATCAAAATCAAAAGCAAGAAATACTTTGCTATAGTTAAAAATCTTTCTAAATCAACTGTCTAATTCTGCGTCAGCTAAGCTAATCCATTCCACACACATCCACGCACAACAACATAGCAAACAAAGCTTAATCCTGATTTGAGAAAACATACGACAAAACAAAACAAAACAAGACAAACCAACAAAAAAAAAAAAAAGTAGAATTAAACAAAATTAACAAGTATAGAGACCAAATGCAGCAAATCAGAGCCCCCAAACACATTAGATTAAGGATGAAAAGGACAGGACCGATTAGGCGAGCAAAACCCTAATTATGAACAATCGGATTCAACAAAACAACAACCACCGGTAGAATCAGTACGGGGAAAAATAAGGAGAAGAAGGGATTTTAGGGATAGATACCCTGGATTCGCGGACTTGTCTGAGGAATCTCTGGACCAGCTCGATGGTGTTGGGGAGAATCTCCTCGCCGTTCCGGTAGAAATAGGATTCAGGGACGTCGTAGCCGTTATTTTCGAACGAAAACGTGTGCTTGTAGCGTACAAACAATCCCCATCGGTCATCGTCGAGAGTTGGGTCTATCACCATGGACATAGTTACCCCGATGTTTTGCTCTCTCCGTCTCTCCTAATTCACTTTTAATGTTTGCGATGTGAGTCGAAAGTCGAATCATGTTTGTTAGGGTAGACAAGACTAAATTAGGCCTATGTTACCCGGACTCTTCTATTTAGGAAGAATACCCGTGTCATGTCGTGTCGACACTGGTGTGGGTATGAGTGTCGGGTGTGACATTTTAGCCTAAAATGTTCAAGATTTCTAAACAATTGACGAGTCGGACGCTCATATCTCCACACTCGATACGCCACCCATATCCGAGTCCAGGTAGCATAGAATTAGGCCCCCTTATCTTGCCAAAAACCTGTGTTTGCTTCCCAAGATTCCAGCCTGTTAGATTACACATGGCCCGCGACTGAATCTCCAATAATCTCAAGTTGCAACGATTACTTGATCTTGGGGAGGAGGCGTGATTGAAATAATCTGTACAGGAACTAACAACCAAAAAGACTACAATAGCCCTCATATTTTGTTTTTTGTGACGATTAATTTTTTTTTTTATTTTTTACTCCTGTATGATGTTTTCTTATTAGGTCCTTGTTTTTATTTTTATTTTGAGTAATACAAACATAGACGCTTTATTTACACCATGTAAAAAAAATTATGACCGAGCTTGTAATTTAGTATCAAATATCTTTTATAAATAAATAATAAAAAAAAAAATGGACATCTCCTAGGAAAAATTAATAATAAATGGACATCCTCTAGTGGCAAAAAATCATGTTTCGTAGTCAAACTTGGATATAAATAGTATTTTTTTATAAAATAATAATTTAGTTTGTATTATATTAAATATCTCTACTATTCACATTAAATCTTTGATTGATATCTTCCTTATTTTCTTTTACAATTAGTTAGCATTTTGTGTATTACACCGGAGCTTGTGAAAAAATTATTCTTAAAAATATTATTGAGAAAAAGTGTTTTAAAATTTAAATATTTTCTTACAAAAAATATATATTATTACATATTTTAGAATGTCACTTGTTACTTATGTGATATACATGTGTTATATAATAACAAATTTTCTAACTTATATCATAACTACTTGAAACGTAAATATATTAATTAATAAATAACTTTTTATTTTGTAATTAATATTAACAAATATTTTTATTGTTATACAGATAAATATAATTTATTTATTTTATATATACCATATGGATGTCAAATCAAGGCTTATCAAACGATGATTTAATTTATCGTTTGATAATTTAATTTATTTGATACATTATATACGTAAAACTGGTAAAAAAAATATAAAAGTTATTAAGTTTCAAAATATGTTTACAATTCAATGATTATAATAAAAAATGATAATAAAATACAATCAATACATGTAACATAACCATAAATAATCAATATATTTATGGACAATCCGAACTTAATTATTATTAGATTGGAAGTAAATTAAAATCTTCAAAACCAGATAATGAAACATGAAATTTTGACACACAGGATCCTGAAACATGCGACTCTGCCACTTAAACACAACATATTCGGGAATTATATATAAGAGGGATTACATTTCTTTTTCTTAGTTAATTCATACATTGATTATTATATGTGTCTTCTTCTTATTTTTTAAATTTTATAACTTTTTGCTTGTATTTTGCTTGATCTCTTAACCATTTTTTATTTCACATCCATATTACATATATAAAAATAAAAACCAATGACATATATCATTATAAATAAATTTTAAACTAATTTATCAAACTAAATTAAAAATATATATAAAAAACTACAAATTATCTTATGAAGCAATAACTTTTTTATATAATTAACATATAATTAAATATTTTAATAAAAAAGAATATATAGAAAACTAAGTATGAACATAAAATAATACAAAAGAATATTTTAAAATCTAAGTCTCAAATTATAAATAAAAAAATGTTAATTATAGTTTAAATAATTATTGTATTTCATAGAGTTAAAAAATATTGAACCCATACACATTAATTATCGAATATTATAAAATTGAAGATGTTTAAAAGTATTATATATGAAAGAAGAAACTGTGTTTTTAAAAACTATCATTTGAACAAATTGAGTGTAAATTATACGTATTATTTCAAATAATTTATTTTTATTAATTTTAAATGTTAGTTTTATACTTATTTTTTTTATATTATAAGAATATTAATTTATTTACTTATTTCTTTGGATAAAAATATTTTATTTGTATCTTAATGCACCCATGTTGTTTACGGGCGTTGTATCAACTGAAGAATAAATTAATTATTCTATTAAATTTAAACATAAATATATCTTGAATAAAAAAATTATTTCATACAAACTAAGTTATTTATTTTTCATTCTTTGTTGCAAAATTTAATTTTTTCTTCAGATACGTGTAGTTCACGAGCGTTGTACTAGTATGAAAAATTGTTGGCAAATGCTTTATATGTATTGAATATCCTTCTTTTTGTCATGGCTCATAATTTTATTTTATAATTTATTCTAATAATAAATTTTATTAAATTTAATAATATATATATGGGATTAATAATGCACTTTTATTATGTATGAATGATTCATATTTGCCTGTGGAAAAAAAAAAGTTGGTAATAAAAAAAAAGGATTACAACAAAAAGAACGTTGAAAAAATTATAGCAACTATGTGGAAGAAGGAAAAATAAAATAAAATAATTAAATTAATGTTTGAGGACAAATAGATAAATATACAATCTATCTTAACAATAGTCTTATGAAACAAATGCACTACACATGACAATCACAAAATCTTATCTTTAGTTAATCATACTTAACAAACTCAGTATGAATCACATCTCTACAGTATAATCTTGTTTAATGAGATTATATTTATCTTATCTTGTCTACCTTATCAAACATTTTATAAATTCCCAATTATATTTTCTCTCTTTTTTTTTTGTAGCGGTATCCAGAGTTATGCCCCGACTAATTTGTTGGTTGACCAGGGTTGCACACCTGGCAGTGGTGGGTGAGTCTCCCAACAAGAATTTTCTACATCTACAATGACTCGAACTCAAGATCTTGTTTAAGCGACATCAAACTGCTAACTACTTGAATGTATATTTTTTTTCTCTATCATGAGTACGTAACATGTCTTTCAGGAAAGAGAAAAAAAAAACCAAAGAATTGACGAGCAATTTATATATTTATTGATAAAAAAATAATAACTGGACAAAAACAACAAAAAAGAAGGATAGTGGACCAACATAAAAAGATACAGATTTCGTGAATACGTTTTCTGTATATTTTAATCAAAAAACGTATTCACTAAATACGTTTTTTATATTTTTTTATAAAGGAAAACGTATTCCGTGAATACGTTTTACAATTAAAATGTGCATAAAACGTATTTACGGAATACGTGCTTTTCATTTATTTCCACCCACTTTTTCCTTTTTTTTTGTCCACTTCTTTTTTTTTCGGTAAAAAATTCAAGAATTGACAAATACATGAAGATTATAACCCAAATCGTCCATTACACACCGATTTGAGAAAACGGAAGGACAAATTAAACCAACATAAAAGAAACAATTAAAGAAATTCATGCTATATATGTTGCATTTAAACCAACATAAAAAGAAACAATTAAAAGAAACATTTTAGTGACATTACTCATTAAAAAAATAGTATGCTATATATGTTGCGATTTGTATCATTTTTGTGACATTATCCTAAAAAATGCTTACCATTTTTTGAATTAATGTCTACAAACCAAAATCTCCTTGTATAATAATATCCAGGGATCAGATTCTTTGTCTAATCGGAACACTTTAATCTTCTCATTATATAATCAAACGCAAATTAACATGCCATAGGCCCATAAGTCATTTATTTTTATAGAAGAAGAGCATACTATACTTGCATAGACCATCCAATCCACTTCTGCATATACTATAACTATATACACAGCTACATCATTTTTCTTAGTTTCCATGGAAAACCATATCATGATCACATTAATTAAAATCACTATTCATTTGCCACACAAAAAACCTAATTAATTACTAGCGATAAACGATCTGACTTGATCGTCGGCAGCTTCTATCCCCCACCCAACTTCCCCATAACCGACACAATCTCCCGACACTTTCGCTCTCTTCCTTTTCCTCCCGGAGCCGGCCGGCGGCCCGGTTATTTTCCCGGCATCCATCGGAAAGTTAAGAATGGCCTTCCTTCCCCTCATCTTAAAGGCGGCACAATCGTACGCCCTCGCGGCATCCAAATCCGTGTCGTAAGTCCCCAGCCAGACCCGGCAGCCCTTCCGGGCCGGGTCGCGGATCTCTGCCGCGTATTTGCCCCACGGCCTCCTCCGCACCCCCCGGAATCGCCTGGCTGGCATACGGCACGGTCCAAACCTGGGCCCGCCATCCGGGCCCAGCCCGTGCTGAAAATGAGTTGGGCCCGCGATGTGGGGTTTCGTCTCGATTTCGTCTGGCTGCTCGTCCTGGGACAGGGCCCGGCCCGTGAAGTTCGGCACGGGTTGCTTGAGGCCCGAAGACGAGTCGGACAAGGATGAAGGGGACTCGATCGGGCTGCCGGAAAACGATACCGTGGAGGCGAAGCAGTCGTCCAGAAGGTAGCGTCGTATGAGTTCCAGAGTCGAAAACTCGTCGGCCGATGCCATGATCATAAAAATGGGAAAAAAATAATTAAAAAAAAAAATGTGGAAAGTTTTCTTCGGATTATCCTGTAATTAAGTTGGGAGACTTAGAAATTGAAGGGGTATGGAGTTATATGAACATATATATATATAGTTTGGCTAATGCTTGAGATGGATTAGTTTGTTGGGAGGACTTTTATTTTGATATTTTACATTGACTATTGACATTATATATGGGGACATGAAAATATCTTGCAGCTGTGTATAATATTTTCAAGCTCAGGATAAAATCTCATATATAATTGCGTACTATGGTTGCTGCATTATATTCAATGTGTGCTATCTGGATCGTGACATTGTTTGTAGGCTTACAGTAATTCATCAATTAGTAAACTAATTCAATAATACTAGCTATAAACTAGTACAGCACAGCATTAATTAGTAAATATATTACCAATAATAGAATAACTAGTACTAGTGTATAACATTCATGAGTTAGTAGATATAGACATGGCCAAGGGCCACCCGGCCTGCCGACGCGGCACGGACCAGGTCCGGACCAGGCACGAATCTAGTCCGATCAAACCCGTTGACCACGGGTTCGTGATCGGATCGAATTTACGAAGGGTCATGTCAGGGTCATCTATTTCATGACCCGCTTTTTTTATTTTATTTTTTTTCTATTGTTTTTTAAAAATTTGACGGACCCGGACCCGACCCGGGCAACCGAGTCATTGACCCCGCACGAGTATATGTTCGTGTCGGGTCCGGATCATTTTTTCGAGCCCGGCGACCCGGTGGGCCGGGCCGGCTCGTGACCCGGCCCGGATTTTGGCCATTTTTACGTAGATATATACATAAAAAAGTATTAATTTTTTTTTTTTTTTTTT